CTCGCAACATCTGCCAGTTCCACCAAGTTCAGCACATCTGTACACTTTATGTCGTGTTGCTGTATACTACACGACATCGTATATCTATTTGGGATATGAAGGATGAATTTAGGAGACGGGCAGCAGTATCGCCCTATACATACAATACCCTAATTGCTCGAAGACACTAGCAAAGCGTCTGTTTCCATTGGGCAATCATAAGCACGCTTGACGCTGAAGAGCACTGGCAATTGGAGTCGAGCCTAGTTTGCAGCCCACCTGTGATCGCAAAGCGTGGTGACGTGGCAAATTCTCTTATTTTTACCGACCTCAAAAAAAAGGATGAGGTTCCAATCGAATTCGAGGTTCAATTCGCCTGTTTTCTTTTTATATTTATGTATGTTACGTGATAACTACGAGTAACTAATTTGTGAACCGATTTTGATGATTCTTTTTTTGTTGGAAAGAGGCCTCAGTATTGGTCCCATTTAAATTTAAAGGAAATATTCCACCCATAAGGGTGGCAAACTAAGGGATGAATCCGGTTTCGCGCACTTTCCGGTAACCGATTTCAATTTTGGCAAATAGATGTAATTCCACGAACTTTTGAGGTCGGTATTTTTTTATAAAAATGTTATTAATGAGGCAAAAATGTTATTAATTTTATAAAAATGTTATTAATGAGGCAACTTATGACTTACTTGGAAAGGATTAGATCAGGGAAGTCTGTTAATTTTCTTCAAATCACTTCCATTGAGAATCCACTGAGATTTACATTGTAATTATGATAACATTTGTTATTCTGCTAAATTCTAGTTGCAATGGCAGTTGAGTCTCATTAGAGTGTAAGTCGAATGGCAGTGATGGCATTCATTCTAACGATCGATGTTGCCCTACTAAAATTATTATTATAAATTACTATGCTACTACTACTATGTTACTAATTAATATAATTTAATAGCATATTTTAGTTTAATCAGCAAGGAAACACCGATGTTTTTTCTACTGTACATTAATAGCAGTTCGATGGCACGAATCCATCGAAAGAAACGTTAAGGAATTCGTAAACACGCCATTGAAAGCAAAAGGCAGTAGAGCTTCTTGTGAAAGAGTTTGTCCAGGGAAGTACTGCCACCTTACCTAATTCTGCCGCCAAGCAGTAATGTCAGCATTATTGTGTTCCGGTTTGGAAGGGTAAGTGTGCTGGTGAAATTATGGCACATGAGACTTGTTAACTTATGCCTCGGTGTGACGGGCGCAGTGGCAGTGCCCCTCAGATTTTTGCGATTTAAAGCTCTGAATGCCACTGCAACTGTTATGGACAGGCGTGTAGCTTACCATCAGGCGCACGACTTGTCCGCCCTGTCACTTGATATTATGAAAAAAAGAACAATACCAAATAAATTCAATTGCATTTGAATAGTACCTCGATGGCCTGCCATTACATACAAATGCTTGCCATTGACACTATCCAACACACAACTGCGATGACATGGGTCCTGATATAACTGATATGAGTTATATTTTGCGGCGATTTTATCACTCTTGTCGCGTCCAGGTTCCATGACTAGCCACAAAGACGTAATAACTAGACTGACAGACATTCCAAATGAGATTGTCTTTCTTTTGGACAAAACACGACGAGGACAGTTCTGACCAGACTGCCCACAGTAGAAGACAACTTCCCCTGAAATATTGTACAGATGGACATACAACTCTCTAGATAAATTGTTCTATAGAAATTTAGTACAAAAAAATGGACATGACAACTCACTTTCTACTTCTACTTCACTTTCAAAAGAACAAAAGAATGAAAAACTGTAACCTTAATTAAGCTGTGAAAATCATACAATGTCAACATCAATTAAGTCACCACCAAAACCTTAATTAGTATGAAGAATTTATATTACAATATACACTTTTATACAAATTATCACAGTGAAGAATGAGTGTTTCTCATTATATTTTTACACAACAGTAAATTTAATTTTTATTGCAATGTTCTAAATAACCTTTTTACTTTTTTATTAAATTAAAACCAGTTTATTATTAAACCGGACTTTATTATTAAACTAAAACCAGTTTATCCAGTTCCTACGTCATTCCTAGATTCGCTTGTGGCTTGGTGGCCGATCGCAAATAAAATAATTAAAAAAAACTAATTTATTTAACATGAAATGCACACACATACAAGAAAAAAAAATCAAATTAAAAACTGATTCAGCTACAGAGAACTAAGCATTTTATTTATTGTCCTCTCTCATGTTCTGCCATAGCCCTGAATGGTCAGTAAAAATTATAATAATTTAAAAAGAGTTTAAATTCCAAACCATTCGCAAATAGAACAACAAGTATGCATTATGTGCCATTCGATGTGAGTGATTATTCAGGAGATGGCAAAGCCTTCTTTTTATTTTAAATTTCTTATCAAGGATGTTAATATGGATGCATTACTTTAAGAACAGGTAAAAGCCAGTGTGTGAATATGAAAGAAATGTGATGTGAAATCAGCCCAAAAAATATTTGAATATTTAAACACTTAGAATAATAACGCATAGAATGATAGTTTCACATCAAACGAACTGTCACAAGTGAGGCAAAAATCAAATTCATGTAGGCTAGTTTTAGTAGTTGGTTAATTTTCGGTTTTAGTGAATATTTATATAAAAATACAAGTTGAAACGCATTACTTCCTTATGGAATGTGATGTTAGTATCTATTTTATGTTTGTCTGGCGTATTTTTACACTCATTTACCGCACATTTCGTCATTTTTAGCTAAAATTCTTGATTTGTTCGCGGTGCAAGTTGACCTTGAGCACTGAAGGCCCGCCCACTCGTGTAGGCCCATTGGGAGCGCTTAAATTTGCCTCACTTAGCATGTGCGGACTAGGTTTCTATGCGTTATTATTCTAAGTTTAAACAATGCAATGTTTGCATTTCGGTTACTTTTAAGATACAAGTTTGAGAAAACAACCAGGATTGCTTGTCAAGTAGCCTCTGCATGCATTTCTGTTTGAATGTTGATAATAATTAGAGCAGTGTCAGCTCCTGCAGCAGAAATGAATTGTTTGTTTTTTTAAGGTGTAACATGGCTATAGAGCTGGCAAATTAGACTATGATACTTCTACATTCAAACTTTTGGATGGCAGTATAACTTAGTGTAGTTTTTTACGTTTCATTGTGGTGTGACAATTGTAACCATAAATAATAGAAAACTCAATAAGTTAAATATGTGAAGGATAGCATAACTGGCTACTGAAAAGAAGAAAGTAGTTTTTTTTAAATCTGCAGTGTTAAAATCTGATTACTGATGTAGCTTTTGTTCTTATTGTTCGTATCTTAGTTTTTTACCTTACTTTAATACTTTTTTTTATAATATTAAGTGACATGACAAACAAGTTGTGCACCTGATGGTAAGCTACATGCCTGTCCATAGCAGTTGCAGTGCCAATATCTCTATTTATTTGGTGTTTACAAGTCTTATTAAGAGCTTTAACTCAAAAACACACACTAACAAAATATTCAGAGTATTACAATAGATTCACCAAGATACACATACATATCCTGCTGCACATGGATATCTACCAGACTATCATAGTCCATCACAATTTCCCAATGCAGTGTAAGGACTAATTTAAACTAATTTTATTAAGTATTTCCTACATTTACCAACATTGAAATTTACGTTTCTTGCAATGCAACAATAATTGTAATGACCTAGCTGAGAAAATATTTGTCCTCCATGCCCGTCGAAGTATGATTCCTGGCAAGGACTGGCATCGAGACTTCAAATAATTTTGACAGCATATTTACATTCAAAATTTGAATAAACCTAACTGCAAATTTTATCCCTTGCCTTGATAGAGAAAAAAAATATCACAAAGCAACCTGTAATCACAAATAATATAAATCTGCAAAAGATTCTTGAAGTCTTCAATGAGTGAATATAGTGGAGTATATATAGCCAAAATTTTTCCTTAGAAGATACTGGAGGCATACATTGGGACATCATAATATTATATTGGTTGAGTAAAAATAACTTTCTATCAACACAAAGCAAGGTTGGCTGTTATACTCATTTAACATAAAAGTAAACAAATTATTCATGAAGTTCTAGGGCAATGCATTGTCTCCAATTGTTGATGAATTAACCAATGTAAAATATGCAATAGCTTAGTAATTATTTTAAGTACCCCTGCTGTATGCTATATATTGATATTATTTTTGAAAATTTACTGGTAAACCTAAGAAATTACTTTGATATGGTGCAAGTACGAATTTTACTAAGGGCATGATTACACAAATATTAATTTTAAATGAGAAATGTAAATAAATAACTACTAGTACATACAATAATGGTTCAAATGAATAGAATAGATACAAATAGAATTAATAACTGTTGTAGCTATCTTAATTTAGCTGTCTATTGATAAAGTGTACATATTAATAAAAAGAGGGTAGATTATGATAGTATGTAGACAAGGAAATTTGAGATGACCACAATGTAGAGGCCATATGATACTGTGAAAGTAACAATGGGCACAAGCCATGCACCAGGAACTTGTGTTTTATATCCAGTTCAATGCTTAACACAAGTAAAATACGATGTAGTCTGTACAATCAAAGAAATAGGCATAAATGCACCCACATGCAATTCTTAAATGGTTCGCCGAATATTGTTTTTCATCACATAAATTCTAGTCTGATGAACTCAAGACCGCTCGAAACATTGATTGACCAAGTCGGAAACACAGTAATATATGCAGAACGGCGTGTGAACTCACGTTCCTTATCTGCACGAGCCGTATTGTACATTATTTTTGACATCTATCCTTCGCCATTTTCACCTGCCTACTTGTGGACACAGCGTGTCCGGTATCGCCAAATCGTTAATATACAACATTTCGTAACAACAATTAGCGTGCGAACGAACTACAGACTGCGAAAAAGTCGTCTAATCATTTGTTAATTACTAATATAGCCTCCAAATCGCACAAATGGCAACAGAGGTCAACTTACCTCCACTTCGCTACTGCCCACCGTTTTCTCAGGTTTATTGTCCGAATTGGTTTGCTGGTCGTTTGCTAGATTGTGTAGCGCCTTCGTTTCTTCACAGGAAATGCTTATGACACTTTTATCCGGGGCTTTCGGTTCCTTATCATACTCCGGCGGAGGAGCCATCTTGAAGGTAGAAGTCAGATGACACAAGTCTTATGACTTTTACACACCGAAAACACTCTCCACCCCGTTGAAAATAATATTTATCACAACCTAGCTATTATATCTTCATGTTTATGTAATTTAACTACAACATTACTAAAGTTCTAATAATTTGCAAAACCGAATTCATCATTTTCGACAGGTTCGGATTCCGACCAACATTTTCAACGACTACGCATACGCCATCAAGTGGCAACAAACGCCAACAAAATTGTATGCAAAAATTGCAAGGCGACGTTGTTGTGGTACTATATGAACTGGTTAAAAAAATTGTGCTGTAGAGTGTTACTATCAATAAAGAGGAAGATTCGTATATTTCATTTCTCTCTCTAATAGTGTCCTAAATTTATTAAAATAAATACAGCCACTATTTAAGATACGTTATAAACAATATAATTTTAGTTTAAGCTATTCTGAGTTTCTCTATACTTTCTTATCTTTTTAAACTGGTTGGCTTTAAATTCAATACTAGTAGAATAATACTAATATATAATAATAAAGGTGGATTCACAATACACAAATTCTGGCAATAATCTTGAGTTAACCAAACAAGAGTTGTCGTCGCCGGTCCTGATTGATCAACACAAGATCATATGCCTGAATTTATGCAGTGTAAATTCACCTTAACAAGTCAAAATATTCATCAACTGGACCAACTGTCTATGTTATAGATATTTTGTCTTTGTTGTTTTTTGTATACAAAAGAAGAAAAAGATACTTTCGTCAAAAATAACAATTTATCCATCAAATTTGTTTATGGGCCCACTGTCGTATAAGGGCCCGTTCCCACTATGTCGTAACATTTTATTTATTGTTGGATGACTGTCATGTCTAGTCTGTTCCCATTTCACGACTATCTATCGTGGATGTTTATTTTATCGTTGAACGACTGTCGTGTCTAGCTGTTTCCACTAGACCGTGACGACAATTTATCGTGACAACGATAAATAAAACGTGAGAACAATAGTAACTGCTGATGCAGCTAATGATGCTTATATACAATATGTTGATTTGCATTTTCGCCATATTTACAGAGGTCATTCAGTCCGAAATTGAACCCAAATCACTGAAAAAACAAATCGGAAAAAACTTCGTAAATTCCAATTTTTTATTTCATAGCGGTAAACATATTTGATCCAAAGGTCATTGACTTGCACGGCACTTGCAAACATTTTGAACAATGACCTTAAATGCTCAGAAAGAAACGCAGGAGTATTTGGTGGTGGGGTGCGAGTAGCGACAGCGAGGAAGTGTCATATCGTCGATTGGTAGAGCAGTCGACCTTGCTTCCCGTACTGCGTCTACGTCACGCAGACATTCCACATAATTCTATTCTAGTCCGTCACGAGAATGAAAATCTAAACACTGTATAATGCTGATGATGCTGATGTTGCAGATGGTTCTGATAGTGCTGATGATGATTATGCTAAAGGTGCTGATGATGATGATGATGATAGCGCTAGTAATTCTCATTGTGCTGATGGTTCTGATGTTGCTGATGACAATATCGAAGTCATGCCTGGTTATCGGTCATCATCAGCGTCATCAGCACTATCATCAAATCAGCAGCACCAGCATCATCAGTACCTTTAGCATAATCAACATCATCAGCATCATAAGCACCATCAGAATCATTAGAACTATCAGCATCATCGGTACTATAAGCACCATCAGCATCATTAGCATCAAAGCACCAACAGCAGCATCAGCATCATCGTCATTATATACCGGGTGTAACAGAAAGGTGTGGTCATATTAAAGGACCCAAATGTACACTTGATTTAGACCCTGTGTGCAAAATATCAAATAAAAATAAGTGACTTTTAATGTTGATATAAGTTTAATTATGTTTGTATAAATAGTGATTGTCCGAAACAACCACTGCGTCACAACTCTATTGCTAGTTACGTTACTACGACTTCACAAATTCATTCATGAAACCTGGGCGGCCGCAAGGCGGGGCGAAAGAACAGCTGACTACAATTGAAATGCCATTGTAAAAACATGATTTGAATATGTTGATAATACGTTAATATTAAGTAACAAAATCTTTAAATACCTAGAAAAATCGAATCATTTCTTACAATATTATTTTATGCCATACCCAGGTACGCGTACGTATTATTTACATACAATTTAAAGAATATTTATTTACTTATTAAGCCCGTAGTTACGCACGCCTTCATCGTATACACATTTTACATAGTTTAGTATTAATACATTTATTTACGACAATTTTACAATAGTGGATACTTTTTTAATTGGTACTTACCTACTGTTCAATTCATACACGTTTTAATGAATTTCCTACGAATTGTAATTGTACAATGTACGAAATATTGACTTGTTTACGATAATTTTGAATAATAAGCACAATCACTGCACGCACTGCTGGCACATCTCACACATTTACAGGTAAGGTTCAAAATGCCGACCTCCATGCAATATGCATATGTCCGTGTGTCGGTACAGAGACTGCTCTACTCTTTGAAGCATCTGCCGAGTGATTTGACTAAATGCCATTTCGATCCGCTGCCTCATTTCTTCTGCGCTTTCACAGGACTCCGCATAAACAATATTTTTTATATGATCCCATAAAAAAAATCGAGCGGTGTCAAGTCTGGGGACCGCGCTGGCCAGGGTACAGGACCTCCCCGCCCAATCCACTGCGGGAAACGGTCGTTCAGATGGGAACGTACATTTCGAGCAAAATGTGCGGGTGGTCCATCGTGCTGGAAAGTCATCCTGTGTTCCATCACGAGTCTCACGTATTGTGTCACTGGCAGGGCCATCAGAACGTCATCCAAGTCTTCTGTTAGGAATCTTAAATAATTGGCCCCATTCAGACTTGCCGGCAAAAACACTGGACCGATGACGGCACAACCTATTATACCAGACCACACGTTAATCCGCCACTGGTGTTAAAAATTTGATTCCCTTGATACGCGGGGATTCAAATGAGTCCAAAAATGTTCATTATGCATATTGATAATGCCCGCACGCGTAAATGACGCCTCGTCTGTCCACAGTACCGACGAAGCGAAGTCGGGAGACCTCCCAATCTGGTCGCGGTCGTAAACGTAACGGAACGTGGATCATAGTCCGCTTGTAACAGCTCCTGCGTTCTTTGAAAATGGTATGGGTGCTGGCCATCATCCCGTAGCACACGCCACACACTCATATGGTTCACACCACCAAAGGCTGCCGCAGCACGACGAGTACTTGTCTTTGGATTGCCGAGAAAATGTTCCAAAACATCTGCCTCGAATTCTGGGTCTCGTGAACTCGGCCGGCCTTCAGAACTGGAACCACGGAACGATCCACTATTATGAAGTCTCATAACCATCTTCCTGAAGCATTTCAGAGTAGGAAATGGTCGACGTCGATTTTCTGGGACGCCATCAACAAACTTTGCCCAATAAATTTGGCGAGCCTGGCGTAAGCTCCCATCGGCTGCGCCTACGCACAACATCATCTCATAGTAATCACTATTGCTTAAGCGTGACATAGTTTAAATAAACACAAAAACGAGACACAAACAAAACGATGACACCTATTTAGTCCTCACAACGCAAACGGCAATTACAGACTGTTACAAAAAATAAAAAAATAGTGCCTCTGCCTCAGCGGCGGCGGCACATCAAAGGACGCCGACTGAAACGCAAATTTTGGAATATAGGGTAACGTTTTCATAATGTACATACAGGATGAAATTAAAATTATTACCATCCTTTTAAAATAAGACCCTTCTCATGATACAAATTACATCATTACATACACATTAAACGAATACCTATACCCTACGTATCTACGACCTTCAACGTTGCACTGCATACGCCTTTGTTCACCCGTACCACTTCCACACAACGCAAGAACTGACTGGGTGATTACGGATATACTGCACTAAGGAGGCAGTCACCCATCGGAAACCCACGACGTCCGAAACGAAAGCCTAACACACTAACCACTACACCATGGAGGCAGTCGACTATAGGAATCAAATCCACGACCTCCGAAACGAAAGCCTAACACTCTAACCACTACACCATGGAGGCAATCGACTATAGGAATCAAATCCACGACCTCCGAAAACAAAGCCTAACACTAACCACTACACCATGGAGGCAGTCGACTATGGGAATCAAATCCACGACCGCCGAAACGAAAGCCTAACACTCTAACCACTACACCATAGAGGCAGTCGACTATGGGAATCAAATCCACGACTTACGAAAAGAAAGCCTAACGCTCTAACCACTAGACTATGGAGGCAGTCGACTATGGGAATCAAATCTATGACATCCAAAAAGAAAACCTAACGCTCTAACAACTACACCATAGAGCCAGTCAACTATGAGAATCGAATCCACGACCTCCGAAACGAGTCTAACATTAACCACTACTCCACATCACGATGTATAAAATCAAATGCTGGCGGCGAAAATCAAAGGTGATATTTTTGCCGCTAAAGTTGCCGCCAAAGGCTTGCGACTTCGCTACGACTACGTATCGCGTACGCAAGGCGACTAATCTTGATACTTTGTTTATTTAGGTAAGATTTTTTATGGTTTTACACTATTGCTAATTTAAACTATTCTAAAATATTTCTTTAGATGAGTAGATATTATTAGGAAGTAAGAACCTTAATAGGTTCAACGGATGTTAATTATTTTTAATTTCACCATGTAATAAACCCATACACAGAAAGTTGTCGTGTGTAGATAAGTCAAATTAAGCGTAAACCTGTTGTTAGAAACGTGTGCTCAGCAATAGACGTATGTAAGTTAGTAAAGTACTAATTTTTGCATAAGGTTTAGTCCACTACACTTGCATAGTAAGTACTAGTTGGAGACTTGACATTTTCGCATCTTTGAAGATTTCGGCAATTATCTCCGAAATCCAAGTTTTCTCACGATATTTTCATTTCCAAGCAAGTGATGAAAATTATAATAATTAATTCGTGGTCAACGATCAAAACTAATTTCTTGACGTTTGCCGACCTTCAGGTTGCACCTTTACGATGAAAGTGTCCCAATACAAAATTTCATCTTTTTGGGAATACGCAAAATAAGATTCAAGTTGTGACATTTTCATATTATTTTATTTATTACTCTTGAAGTACTAAAGGTGATGGCCTTATTAGTCTTTGAAAATAATGAGGAAAAATGGAACTTTACAACTGAAAATTGTTTCTGATCATTTTAATGTTCAACAATTTAAAAACATAATTTACAAAAACTAGTCGCCGATAGGTCTTTTTTTAACGATTTTTTGTTATCATTTAACGTATTAAGAATTAAGTCTTTTTAATGTTCATCAGCTAAGCAAGATGTCATAACCCTTTATATTGTTTTGTGATCCCTATTTCACAATTAAAAAAGAAGAAAGTCCACGAAACAAAAAAGTCAGTCAGCGTGTTGTCTTTGCAAATGCAGATTCAACAATAAATGCGGCGTTAATATCTCGACGCGGGAGTAGAATTTTTAAACTGAAAGAACAAAATGAAAGGGACCTTTATGAATCAGTGCTATTCGAGCTTTAATTGCACAATTTCATCTTCACCACAGTGTGACTAATGTAACAAAATATTTTTTTAAGATGGTTTTACGGTATAAACTCATTTTTAAATTTTTTGATTTGGGTCACTTTCATTGTAAGGGTGCGAAGTATTAGTCGGATGATTGCGTCATATTGCGTCATGCATTAGAAGAAACATACCGACTGATTCTCTAGCCGCCATGCGTTAGAACAGTACCGGCGGATAGAAAGAGACAAATTTCATTCATTAAAATACAATAGATGAATGCGTATTATTACATATGATATGGTAAAAAGAAAAGAGATAACTTTAAATATGTGTTTTTTAGAGGACATTAGTTTTATTAATGGATATTAAATGGAAATTTGTGTATTTTGTATGTTTGAAGATATGAAGTTAACGAAACCATATTACGTTATTATGTACTAAGTTTTAAATAATAGTTTTATTATGAAGTAGTGTATTTTGGCAAAGTAATCGATAATATTTATTTTTCATTAAATGTTCACACGCATATTACATGAATAAAATAATAATAAATTTAGTAAATTATAACATAGTAATAAGAATATGGCATTAAGTACTTTATCATTTACAATAACATGCCTGAATTTCACAATTTTTTCAAGTTACGTAATTTGGTTGTATTATGATACTCAATAGAGATGTGATGTGACTATTTATTTTCGTTAAATGACATCAGCTGATCGAAACTGTTCATGGCGAAATTTCCATAAATAACGTAGTGTGTACTAAAACAACTTTGCTAACTAGTTTCATACCATTAGCTGAATCCGACCTTCAAATATGACCACACCTTTCTGTTACACCCTGTATAAGCATCATCAGCTGCATCAGCATTATAATGCATCTATGTATGTGGAACATCTTTTTCCGACGACTGTCGTTCTAGCTGTTATTGTGACGACAGTTTGTCGCTGTAATGACAAAAAAATCTTGAACGACAGTTAATCGTGTCGTACTATAATTACATGAACAACTTCATTTAAATATGCAAGCCACGATATACTGTAAACTGCACGACTATCTGTCGTCATGACATAGTGGAAACGCGCCCTATTTGGTACTTAGTGTAACGCGCCCTAATGCGTGAGTAACTCGTGAGATTGTCTATGATGTTTTGACATTTTATTTCATTCAGAAAGTTAGGCGAGACGGTGAATACGTCGTTCCTCGGATTTTCCCGTTTCATTAATCGATTTATTATATTTGTTGATTAGAAAAGGAACCTGCGATGGGGGAAAACATTTTTCTTTTCGTTCCCAACATCATTGGTAAGTATCACTCAGCTACCAAAAGAAGAACTTACGCAGTGTTTTTATATTATAATTGTTTACATTACATGATATATTTCAGGGTTCGGTAGGGTGATCCTGGCTATAATATCGTTTTATTATATGCCAACGCATTGCATTCTCGCTTGCACATGCTATGTGACCTCTGCGTTCCTCGATGCGTTTGACGGTCATGCGGCAAGATACTTCAATCAAAGTAAGTGATTTCAGAAGTGGTGTGGTTCACATATGTATTAGTAAGTGCTTCGACTATATCGCCATTTACTAATTCAATTACTTACACAACCACACAGTAACCTATTATGTTTATCCATTGAAATGTTAAACAGCTTAAAATATGCAAATAAACGTCAATGAAAAAGATTTATTCAGTTACAATTTATACTTAATAATGTGCTAGAAAACCACACCAAGTGCCTGGTTTCAATCTTGGGAATTCCTTGTATCAATCATGATACAGGGAATTCCCAAGTTTGAAAAGAAATTTATCAGAGAAACGGAATTCACTCATGGGCACTTCCCAGACCAGACCCAATTCAGAATAGTTAATTTTCCATACTGGTCCTGCCAGGAAATGATCCTGGGGCCTCTTCATCCGGCAATCACAGTGGAAATTGTTGAGCCACCAAGGTGGTCAAATTACTTTTTAAGTGTGTTGCTAAAACTTTGTTCCAGGTACAAAGTTTGGTGCAATGTTGGACCAATTGACTGACCGTGCAGGAACTGCTTGTCTCATGATGACGCTAGCTACCTTCTATCCCGACTACACATTCTGGTTCCAAATCTCCATGGCAATTGACATTACATGTCATTGGCTCTACCTGCATACTACGACTCTTCAAGGGAAGACCTCTCACAAATTCATTGATATGTCAGAAAACCCTATAATGCACTTGTATTATACTAATAAGAATGTGTTGTTCTTTATGTGCGCTGGCAATGAGGCTTTCTATGCTGCTCTTTATGTACTGCATTTCTATACTGGACCCACTGGTAAGTATTTTTTATTTATTTTTTAGTTTGATATCCATGCTACAGTAAAGATACAACGCAAAAAATATATGTTTTGCATATTTTCATACCAATAAAATACCCACCTGCTTATATTTAAAAAAAAAATCTAGTAACATAACAACATAATAAAAGATGATAAGATCATAATATATTTATTTTCTATACACATATGGACATCATGAATAAATGTTTTGTTACAAAATAGTATAAAGTTGGGTTTAGACTACTCTTTTCATATGCAAGTAACAGTCCAAATTGAAGATATAATTCATGTACTAGCAACAAAATTCTACAGATAGGCATTATATGGCATACACTTATCACAACAACTTTCAAATTATCTTTATAAGGCCACGAAAGACTTAAATGTTATCTAACCTGTTTACAGTTTTGGGCATCGGTCTCTTCAAGTTGATTGCACTCATCTCCCTTCCTGTAGCAGTTGTGAAGGCAGCTATCTCTGTACTACATGGTTTTGTTGCTTCACTCAACCTTGCTACTATCGATGTTAATGAACGGGCTGCATTAAAGGAGAAACAGAAGTAAATACTACTTAACTTGATACTCAATATTATAATCTTGTTGCTGAATAACAAAAAACCTTGAATATTATAAAAAATTTAAATTATTTAGCTATGCAAATTTAACAGAAACAATGTGCATGAAATTAGTCCTATTTGGCTCAAATATTAGTAATTAAAACTCTTTACATCTGCCAGTGCCATATCTGAGTGTTTAAAACCGTCTATTCGTACTTAACACGATTGGCCATAATTGCGCAAACATCAGTAAAGCGCTCTTTTCGTTACTTCTAAAACTTGGCATGGTGTGATTATTAAACATGATTTCGAGACTTCCAATCAAAGTTACAATAAACTTTGTTAAATTTAAGTATACTCTTAAGTATACTATCTCACTTTATTATAGGTGTCCTATTTTGATGGAACCAATTGTAAGCTCTAAGATTTCACTGACTATTCCAAGGTACTGAGAGTTTTTTTGTGTTTATATAGGGATGAGTATTTAATCGAACTTTGGTGAAGAAATAAAATTGTATTTTATTATCACTCAGTACTAACATATTGTGGCCAAATCTCAATATTGTTCATAAGTATCTTGTTTATTTGGTGGAAATTTAAAAAATCATAGAAAAGACTAGGTATATGGTAGCTTTCCCATACTTAATTTATTCTTTCTATAGAAGTGTTCTCCAAGCGTATTATGATAACTTTGTCGGAGTTGTATGTATATTACAAGTACTAAAGTACATTTTTATATTTTGTTGCTTTTGTTTTACTAATTTCACACCCTCAATAATAAAGTGACGAAGTTCGAATAGTAACATTTCGGGAAATGAGAAAATATTAATAAAAAAATAATATAAATGAAATGGCCTATATGGCCGTACGTATCACTAGATACGTACTGAATTATTTTTAACCGACTTGAAAATAGGAGGAGGTTCTCAATTAGAAGACTACTTTTTTTTTAGTATGTATGTTACGTGATTACTCCGGTCCGATTTCGATGATTCTTTTTTTGTTGGAAAGAGGGTGCCTCAGTATTGGTCCCATTTTTTGAAGAAAATATTCCACATCTACACAGTGGCAAACAAGATAGATTTGAATAAAACTTGCCAAATACGAGTAATTTCACGATCTTATTTGTTTTTTTTTATAAAAAAATTAATTTCGTGTTTCCCAAAAATTTCTTTTTCGTATATGTCACATTATTTTGAGGGTGAGATTTGTGGTGTAAGTTATGTGATAATTAACTACGTGGTTAGTATAATAAATGTAATGTTTATCAAAGTAGAAGTTCATAGAACTTGTATCCCTTTAGTGTAATATGTCATAAATATTATTATTAAATAAAAATAAGAATCGCAATAGATCAAAGTCAATATTATATAAAATATTTTGCTAAATATTACATATACCCTGGAATGTTTAAGAAAATGTTCTATTTATATTCAAATATCTTTATGTGCGCTAGAAAATAAAATGTATGAATTTACTAATGTATATTTTTTGGAATTATGGTTCGAAACCCACTATTATTGAAATTTAGTTAGAACACTATGTTGATAGAAATACTATTACTTTTCTAAAGGGACCCCAAGAGTTATATGCATTTAATAAATACATGTTTGATTGTCGACTTAATACAAGTTATAATATAGCTATAAGCATAGATTTAGTATATAGGTACGCTATAAGTAAGTGGTAGATGTAAGATTGTTGTTGTGATGTATATTATTTTTAAAAATGATTTCAAAGTCAACTCAAAGATTCCATACATTATTAGTCATATTGTTAAGAATAAATAATGTTTTTGTTGTAAACAATAAATGTACCAAATATATGTGGTTTGTTTTTCTACATAATAAAATTAAACTCAAATCAATTAGTACATATTTTATTTGTTTAAAATGAAGTCGCATATTTACGTGACCAAAGAACTTAATTAATGCAAGTAATTGCTTATTTATGTGTTAAGGTGAAAGAATGTAAAATTATTTGTGAACATAAGAGAAGAAACATTAAAGTTATCCTTTGAGACTGCTCATACCAGCTCTCATGATTTCATCAACGAGAAGGAGGTTACTGGCAATGACTGAGCACGAATTCAGTATCTGCTTTTTCACAATATAGTTATCAATAATACCCAAATCGACCGGCTTGATCGCTTCTCCAGTACTCAAGTCCAAACCAACAGGATCTGGACTCAAGCGAGATTCCTCCTGCAGTTTTACAATAGTATCTTGAGCGTCATATCCAGAGTTGATCGCTAAGGTCTTAGGAATGATCAATAACGCTTCTGCGTAAGCCTGAATTCCGAGACGGGCCTTCCCTTTAACGGTGTCTTTATATTTTAACAGTTCCTGATTAGCTTTTATTTCAAAAGCACCAGCTCCAGGGATGACGCATTTATCTTCAATAGCGTTATTGATAGCTCTCAAGCCGTCACGAATGGCATCCTTTATTTGTAACAAGGTGTGTTTATTTGGACCCTTGATCAGAATAGTGACGGATTGCGGGTTCTTGCATTGTTCGACGAAAGTAAACTTGTTTTCGCCTAATATGTGTTCATAGACTAATCCAGCGTAACCGAGGCAATCTGGAGTTAAGTCGTCAACGGAATTCATAGCAGAACCTCCGCAAGCTAAGGCTAGGCGTTCCATGTTGCGGCGCTTGGCGCGGCGTAGACCGATAATGCCTTCTTTTGCAAGAGCGTCCAGGGAAAGAGGGTCAATCCCCTTCTGGTTAATGACAACGAAGGTTTTGTCGGTGCCAGCGCATACTTTTCTCTTAAGTTCAATAATCTGTAAATACATAGAAGTTTTTGAATTATATTCTAATACTCATTCCTCGCCTTAATGTCAAGATAACAAACAATATATTTACAATAAAAAATATTGAAGGTATAGAGGAACTAGTAATATATAATATATGTGGAGTTCACAATATGTATTTTATTGGCGATTTTGAGTCACACCTTTTTAACCCTCTGATCGATGAAATCTCTCTCTGCGGCGACAAGTTTGTCGCGTTCTTCCGCAGACTTGTAGAAGAAACCGGAATTCACCTCGGTTTTCTCGTATTCGAGAGATACGTTGCAGGTTAGAATGTACGCGTTTTCTACACGCTTCGGCATGTCTGGGTGGCGGGCGCCATGGTCCAATACCAGACCTGCAAATTGGAAGGGAATGGTATAATTTACAACTTTTTGAGAATGAAGAATAACATGATAACATTATTTTAAATGTACACAAAACAAAATTAAAAAAAAAAAATTGTCATAGATAACAATAAACCATAAACTGTTATACTATGTAAATATGAGTACATACCTCGAATGAGTGTAGTTTCAGTGGCAGTCTTGTGCTGCATCTCCATAATCTCGACCATGTGGAGGTCAACAGGCTTGTCGCCAGAGCGGATCGACAACACTGCGTCCACACAGGCATCCGTCAACACATCAGCAAGGGTGGGGTGTACCTGCAATAGCCAGGCGTGTCTTTTTGAACTGCTATGCTCACATTGAGGGACCTCCTTTTGTCATTAGTGCTGTATAGTATTAAAAAAAAATTGGACATGTGTTGTCTTTTGCAATAACTATAGTACAATGCATGAATAAAGTTTGCAAATAACACTTTGCAAACTTTATTGCTGTTAAACATGTTCCAAGACCTTAACCAACCATCTACACCAAGGTTTCTTAACCTTTTTTAGTCATGGACCCCTCAAAAGATTTCAAAGAGCACACGTCCCTTACCCTTTCCGAAAAGATAAAGAAGAACTTCTCGTGGTGCATCGTTATTTTACGCTGGTTTTTGTTGTTCCGCCAGTTTATAAAATTTTTAATAATAAATAAAATAGGAAAAGGCTCGCGTATTGCATTGATGCGCGTGTCGCTCGCTCCTAAATGGATAGCCGTCAATGGGCGCGAAAATTCAAGGAGGTTACATATACCAACTTTCATATTAATGCAATATCTTAGGTAGGTTCGTTATCGACCCCTGGCGTCCACAGGTTAAGCAACCCTGATCTATGTATATACCTTAGTTTTAAGTGAAGTGCGTGCAACATCCAGCAAGTGTTCTCGCTTCACTTCAATAGGCATCCTGCACTTCTCCAGCACCTCCAGAGCCTTCTGGCGGGCCACGTCGAAGCCTTCTGTTAGGATTCTTGGGTGGAGACCTGTATGGATAACATATACATTGTGTACATTATGAACATACATATACAATGCTGTAGTTTTGCACCTGTTCAAAAAGTATTATTTTTTTATTTGTCCAGAATTTATTAACAGCATCCTAAACAAATATAAAAGTCTTATGTTCTGAAATTCCATTACGGATGCAAAGATGTTCATGTATGACAAATTATATTGCTTTTTTTTTATTTTGTAAATTGTTAATGAGTAAACTAGATAATAAATAGGTACTTTAATTTTATATGTTACCTTTTTTAGATTTCATGACAAGTCATATTACAATTTCTTTGAATCTTTTGCATAAAAAAGCAAAAAATTGCACATTTGCAAACTTACAATGTATGTTCAGCATTAATAAAAGTTACATGATAATTTAATGTTTTTTTCTTATTTCTTATTCCTGTTTTTAGGTATTTGGTATTCAACTGAATAGTGAGTCAATATTCAGTATTCGGCCGAATAGCAAAAAACAGGTAGAATAAGCCAAATACTGAGTATTCGTTGCAACTCTAATATATAATCATTATAAGTATTTAACTCAGTGTAGTTATTAATTTTTATTTATTGATGTTGTAGAGCAGTTAGTAGCAACAGACCTTGCAAAAGAATTCGTCCAGGGAAGTACTGCCACCTTATTTATTTCTGCCACCAAGCAGTAATGTCAGCATTACTGCGTTCTGGTTTCGAAGGGTAATGAAGCTGGTGAAGTTACATGCACATGGGACTTGTTAACATGTCTCAGGGTGACAGGCGCAGTGCGTCTCAGATCTTTGCGATTCAAAGCTCTGAGTGGCACTGCTAATGATATGGACAGTAAGCTACACGTCTGTTCATCCTGTCACTTTTTTTTATGATGCCCTTTGCAACGTGTGATCGGTCCAGGGACCATGAGCAGTTGTTTTTAACCGCCTTCAAAAAAGGAGGAGGTTCTCAATTCGACTGTATCTTTTTTTGTATGTATGTTACGCAAGAACTCCAGTATTTGTGAACCGATTTTCATGATTCTTTTTTTGTTGGAAAGAGGGTACCTCCATAGTGGTCCATTTCATTTTGAAAAAAATCATCCACTTCTAAGGGTGGCTGATCACGCATGAACATTCATTTTTATAAATAGTGCCTAAATTTTACTTAAGGAGCAATTATTTTAATCGTGTGTTTTGCTATTCTCCAATTCAAGGCGTTTTTCTCTCTCAATATACTTTGAGTAGTGAGAACTGATTTTTATTATCTCCTGTGTCAAGTCCTGTATAGTGGCGAACTAGGGGATATTCCAACAAAACTTGGCAAATAGATGTAATTCCACGTACTTATGAGGTCGGTTTTTGTAATACTCTGTACTGAGATTATGTTATGATCTATTCGGCGTGTTAGGCTTGCCCACCCTGTGTTAGGCTGCCTTCATCTTTCCAATTTCTCCTTCCTTTAGTCTCACATGTGGCGCCTCTTCAATCGTCTTTTACTTAGTGGTTCGTTCAGAGCTTATAATGCCTGTTTTCATATCGCGAGTTTCTGTCCTTATAAGCTTTTGCATATGCTACTTATCTCCTGTTTGACGGTAGGGATAGGCAGATAATCATGAATATCATCCATTTTAGTAAACCATGGAGCATTTACCAGAGTTTTGAGCACACCATTTTGGAACATCTGTAATATCTCCAAGTTTGATATACATACTTGCTGATCCCCACAGTTGTAATCCATAACTCCAAACCAGTTTGAGGACTGTTTTGTAGGTGGTTAACTTGTTCTCAAGAGACAATCGGGATTTTTAGCCCAGAAGCCATTCCAATGATCTGAATTTGTTGTTGACCTCATCACACTTCTTTTGTATGTGTGTTTTCCAGGTTTGTCTGCGATCAAGGTAGAATCCCAAATATTTAACAACAGTATTGTGGGGTAGCGCATCTTCACCTAGTTTCACAGTTGGGCAATCTTCTCTTCTCAAAGTAAACATGATGTGATTGGACTTTGCTGCGCTAGCTTTGATTCCCCAGTCATTCATCCAAGAATGTATCTTATCAATGTGCGATTGCAATACTCTTGAAGCAGTCTCCGGGTCTATATCTGATGTTAGAATGGCTGTGTCATCTGCGAATGTAGCAGTCAAGATATTAACAGATTCTGGTACATCAGCCATATACAGCATGTAGAGCAATCCTAACACTGAACCCTGGGGGATGCCTGCTTTTATATCATAGAACTTGGAGGTTGCATTGACAAATTGAGGGTGAGGAGGAAATATAATAAACAATAAATGTTTAACAAAAATTTATTAAAAACTATTTAATTGTAACTGTAAAATTTTAGGCATGAAAGGTATATAAATTTTTATAATGATTAATTTCATATCTATGAATTTCTTATTTTTTATTAATGAACTGTTTTATAACATTGTAAAACAATGTATCAGCAAAAAAGCTGTTATTATTACGATAAAAATTACCATGACAGATACATGAACTTATATTGGGGTGAATGGAATGTAAGCAAATTTTTGTAACAATATTGTACATAGCATAATGAACTTTATGGTCAATTGTGTAATGTACACACTAACAGCCTTACTAATAAAAATATTTAAAACAACTGCTTAACAACTGTATAATTATACATTGTATAAACTGCAGATAAGAGTTACACACTCCCTTTACTAATAAAAGATGTGCAAGCATTGCGTAGTTATAAATTAGTTAAAACAATAACCACTGGCAACATTTTTAGCGAGCGTTTTGATACTAGCTTGGAAAACCTGAGAGACATTTTGACAAATTTTTAAACAACGTAATAATGTTGTTTTTGTAATAAATAACATAAATTGTTAGCATAATAATTGACATTTCTTGTCTTGAAATATGTCTAAAATAATTTTGTATTTCTTTTACAATAAAAAAGATCTTTTGGCAAAGCTTATTGTAAAAATTGTTAAAAACTTCATGAACATACCTTTCATACATTGCTAAACGTCAAATTCAAAGTAAATTACGTTTATTACACTGTATTAGGAAATTGTTACTGTGAAATAATGGCTTGTAATAGTGACCAGCTCAAGGCGAAAAGAAACGATCTGCAAATTGGGATACCTTAGAAAAGGTGAGGAGGAATTTTACTATACAAAAGATTTCCCACTCGGTCACAACTTGTAATCGAACTTTTGTATATTATCTTTCAGAATTTATTGAAAAGTTGCATACAGGAGTTTATATCCGTGTTAGAGAACAAAAACACTGACACTACTACCAATAAAAGTAAGACCATTGCTTGGCACACAGTAACAAAAAGGTTTGTAAAATATCACGTTTCACGCATTTTGTTTAATGTTTCTTGTGTTCTTCTAACCGTAATTGAGACAAAATATTTTTTAGATTTAATGAATTAAATAGCCGGGAGAGAGATTTAGCTGAAAGAAAACAACAATGGCGTACGATGAAATTAGATGCTAAAAAAAATGTCCCAGGTAAAGACATCTATCAAATGTACTGGAGGAGGACCAAAGCCTCCTAGCCCAGATCCGGAAACAATAGACATCTTAAGTATGATTCCACAGGAATTTGAAACAGATTCAAATATCTTCGACAGTGACAGTATAGCGGTGAGTGATTTGTATTTAATAACTTGTCAATTTCATGAGAGAGGAACATGAATTAAAAATGAAAAAATATGTTAGAAGCTCAGAGTTTTATTAAAGAAGAGCATGATTTAAAAATGAAGCAAATGTATTTACAAACAGAAGAGCATGACCTTCAAGTTGAAAAATTAAAATTGGAAATTTTGTTGTTAAAATCTAAATTAAACTAATACAATGCTACAGCTAAAAGTGTGTTTCAATGAACAATCTTCTTGTTTCTTGGCCAGATCGGCTATAGATAATGATATCCTTGGCATTTGTTGGTTATCATCATTTTCAGACAAGAGAGGTTCAAGAAAATCAATGTCTTCTTTCATATCGATGGAAATATTGTGGAGTATAGCAAGTGCTACAATGTACAATTTTACGTTTTTTTTGTGTTACACTAAATCCATGCAATAGACAACGAAACCTCTGTTTCCATACTCCAAAACACCTTTCAATTGGGTTTCTTGTCAATATGTGTGATCTGTTGTAAGACTCTTCCTTCACAACACGGGGATTCTGGATTGGTGTAAACAAATAATTTGTAAAACCATAGCCTGAATCTCCTAGTAAACGGGCACTAAATTCTCCATTTTCAAATCGTTGCCGAATTTGACTTTCCCTGAAAATCCTTGCATCATGTGTACTGCCCCTCCAGTGTGCCATCTTGTTGTGCTTCCATCCAGTGCTTATCTTCAATTGAGAATCACAAACTACCTGGACATTTAAGGATGAAAACCCCTTGCTGTTGATATAGTATTGTGCACTATCACCACCAACTTTTTAAATTTTTATGTGTGTGCAATCGATAGCACCAATCACGTTCCTAAAGCCGCAAATGTTTCTAAATCCGGAAACTAGTTGTTCTTTCTCTTCTAGTGACATAGGCATGCGTATGAACTGTGCCGCGTTTTTGCCAAAGCCAGAGCCACTCTGCGGCATACATTAGTAATGGACTGTTGGCTAAGTCCATGAATGTCTGCTGCATCATCTTGAACTTCTTGCCTAGCCCAAGTCCTGAGAGCAGTACAAACTTGAAGTTCTACAGCCAGCCTGCCACCACGAGTTTGTAGCTCGATGTCACTCTTAACTAACTCAACTATTTTACTTACATATGTTTGGCTAAATCTATATTTTTTTTCGAAATTCTGTTTCTTAAAGTAAAAGGATCGAAACGACTTTTGTAACATTTCCTTTTTCTAGGAGGTGGTTCACTGTCTATTTCATCAAATAAAACGAAATATTGTAAATAATCCATTGTTTTTAAAAATACCACACGTCCAATTTTAGGTTATGCGCTTCTTATACAAGAGTCGCGTACTGAAAATAACGGTTCCGTAATATCTCACACTATTTATACACACGCTATAACAGATGTATACAACTAAACTGTCAAATATTTATTATTGGTAATGTTATCGTTATAACTCCGGTATAAGTTGTGTATAAATCTTTATTAGTAAGGCTATAAATATGTGCCAAAATCTTTTGTGGAATGCAAGAGTATTATTTTGTGGATTTTGGCTGAGTTGGAATCTATGGAAGAATTAAAAAAAAACAAAAACAAAAACTGCAGTTTGCAAAATCCTTATTTGTTGCATTGTGATTGTGAACCATATGTTTATATTATATTAATTTGTTTAGTTTGTGTTTTAAATTGAGGCTAAGGAGTATATTATATATAATAAACAATAGCTACTCACCTTCACTGATGTAAATATCTGCCTGTTTGAGGAGTTCTCCAATAAGGAGTACAGTAGATGTAGTACCATCACCAGTAGCATCATCCTGTGCAGTGGAGGCGCGCGCAATGAGGGAAGCTGTAGGGTGCTGTATCTGCATCTCGTGGAGCAGGACGTTGCCATCTTTGGTGATCTTTATATCTCCAGCTCCTGAGACTAACCTGAAGATATATTGATTTGATTTATTTATATGGGCTATACATAATCGCGTTACGCGAAATTAGCGTAAAAACCAATGCTCGGAATAAGGGGTTCCACATATATAGATATAGCTACAAGGAGCGACATAGAGATGTTAAAATCTCCAAATACTAATTTTGAAAACAGCGTTATAACGAAATCGCGTATTACTGTATTTGTTTGTGTCAAGAATATGACAAAATAAATTAAATTACAGTCAAAATAAAATACAACATATTTGCGCCACTTTCTAGAGGATAAATTCCATAAGTCTACAACATGTTTCGCATAGCAAAGTGGTCGTTTTTAGTGGTAGTTTTTAAAGAATAATCTAATTATTTCGGACTTTTTAATTTTTTTAAGTTGATTGAACAACACATCGTGTAAATGACAGTTAGCATCATATGACTTTTCAAAGAACAAATTATAATAATTCAACAAATCAAATACACATTATTGCATTACAGATACTTCCAAAATGATGAAAATTACTTCTGAATAACAGGCTTCTTACATAGATATTAGAAATAATCACAAAAAACTTACATTTTCATTGTCCCTTTAGGACCGAGGTTAGTTTTCATCACATCTTGAATACCTTTTGCTGCAGAAATATTCACTGCAAGCGCTTGAGCTGCCCTCGCAAACTCGGCTTTTGGATTCAATAAACTAATTGCTGCCATTATAAAATTCTTAGTAAACTTAATAAAATAGAAATCCCGGTAAACACGAGGGTTCCAGTGACTAATTTGCTTACAGAATTACCATAGACAACAGACAGACATCGAAAGACAAAAGAAAGAAGTGTGTGAGGAAGCACAGTAATGCTGAAATTTAAAACGGCCTATTTATTATTGTTACTATTATTTATTTATTGAGTATTGGCCAATAAAATCTTAATTTAAAAATATTACAAAGAAATAAAACACTCAAAATGTAATGGGAAATCTAGCAAAATATTATTAGCCAATGGCACAACCGACCGTGCGTTCAAGAAATATATTTTGCTACACGGAATTGTAGTATTTAATTTTAGCATGTTGCAATGTCTCTGGAATCATTTAAAGTCATATCAATAATAAATAGCTTATTAAGACTTCTTCAATCTATTTATAGATAATATTTTTTATAAATGAAATTGTTTCAAAATTTATTAGCTTTCAGGTTAATAAATATTGTAGCCTGTAGAAGTTTCAAGGTGCACTTGAAGTGACAAACAGCTGTCATTCGATTATAGCTGTTTCCGCTTAAGGAGAGCTAAAATAAAATTCTATTTTAGTCTTGTATTAAGAATGTACGAGATCTTGCAAGAACTTTCTTTATATGTGGTATAAAAGCAGCGTCGGCAACAGATCAAAACAAGTATATAGTAATCAACGAACGAAACGATGGGAGTTCACGCTGAAGAAGCCGAAACCTACAAGATTAAGGGCAACGATGCCTTTAAAGCTGAAAAATATGAAGAGGCGATATCATTGTACTCTAAGGCAATTGAGCTCGCCGAAAAAGACTGCCGGGACTTGGCCACATACCTGAAAAATCGCGCTGCTGCCTATCTAAAAACGAAGGAGTACGATAGAGCTATAAAAGACTGCGACCAAGCATTAGATATTATTCCTGAGGATCCGAAAGCTCTATTTCGACGATCACAAGCGTTGGAGAGTTTGGAAAGATATGAAGAAGCTTATAGAGACGCTAAGGCGATTTTCACAGTGGAACCGACGAATAAAGCGGTGCAGCCCGTTCTAGCTCGGTTGCATGCAATTGTCCAAGAAAGAGCGCGGCAAAGTGCGCAAACCAGCAACAAAGTCGATCAAATGTTCAAACTCGCCTTTAAACTTGAAGAAGATAAGGAGAAACGAGAAAAAGCTATGTCCAATCTTCTCGTACTCGCCAAAGAGAGCACAGGTGCTGAAATTATGATCAAAAATGGTGTTGTACACAAAATACAACAGCTATTAAAAGTCGAAAAGAATCCTGACATTTATGCAAATGCTGTAAGAGTTATCAGTCAGCTCTGCAAGAGGGATGTGAATAGAACAAAGCAGGTCATCAAAGTTGTTGGCGTTCCATGGTTCCTGGAGATTATCGACAGTGACAATGAAGAGAGGGTTAATGCAGCTCAATATTGTCTGCAAACTATATTGGACACATTTACTGGTATGGACAGTAAGAAAGAAATAAAACCTGACCCTCAAAAGTGTGAGGAATACAAAACTGAAATTGACACACTTTTGACTTGCCTGACCTATTCTATTACCAATACAGTAATTAGTGGCCTTGCAAGAGATGCCATTATGGAACTTATTATGAGAAATTGTCACTACTCTGCTATCAATTGGGCTGACAGATTTGTTGAAATTAAAGGTTTACAGAGATTGCTTGAAGTGTGTAGTGAACTTGAAGAGTACAAGTATGAATCTGCAATGAACATCACTCCATCATCTAGGACCATAGCAGCAGCTTGCCTGGCTAGAATATATGAGAACATGTATTATGATGAAGCAAGGCAGAAGTTCAACAGTCAAGTAGATGATTTTATCAAGGGTAAACTGCTTACACCAGACCTAGAATCTAAAGTGAGAGTCACAGTGGCTATAACATCATTACTCAGAGGCCCTCTGGACGTAGGGAACTATGTCATCTCTAAGGAAGGTATTGTGGAAATGATTTTGGTCATGGCCCAGACTGACGATCCTCTGCAACAAAGGGTGGCCTGTGAATGTTTAATCGCAGCTGCATCGAAGAAGGACAAGGCAAAAACTATTATTGATAAAGGTGTTGATGTCCTAAAAAAGTTATATCAGTGCAAAAATGATGCTGTCAGAGTTAGAGCTCTTGTTGGTCTCTGCAAACTTGGAAGTTTTGGAGGTGATGATGCTTCAATTCGCCCATTTGCTGAAGGTTCTACAAAGAAATTAGCTGAAGCCTGCAGGAAGTTCCTTGTCAACCCATCAAAGGATAAGGACTTGAGGAAATGGGCAGCTGAAGGTCTCTCATATCTTACTTTAGATGCTGATGTGAAGGAAAAATTGGTGGAAGATAGAGCTGCACTGCAATCTTTGATAGAACTGGCCAAAACTGGTGATCAATCTTGCCTTTATGGTGTTGTAACCACTCTAGTTAACCTCTGTAATGCATATGAAAAGCAAGAAGTTCTTCCTGAGATGTTGGAACTGGCAAAGTTTGCTAAACACCATGTGCCAGAGCAACACGAGTTAGATGATCCTGATTTTGTGAACAAAAGGTTGACTGTATTAGCCAAGGCTGGAGTCACTTCAGGTTTAGTTGCTTTGGCCAAAACTGAGAGTCATAATTCAAAGGAACTGATTGCTAGAGTTTTCAATGCCATCTGCAGTCTTCAGGAACTTAGAGGAATTGTAGTTCAGCAAGGAGGAGCAAAAGTATTGATCCCAATGGCTTTGGAAGGCACCAAAAATGGCAAGAAGCAAGCTGCACAAGCTTTAGCTAGGATTGGTATTACAATCAACCCCGAAGTTGCTTTCCCTGGACAAAGAAATTTAGAAGTAGTAAGGCCTTTGGTAGCATTATTACACCCTGAATGTTCTGCTCTAGAAAATTTTGAAGCCCTAATGGCTCTCTGTAACTTGGCTGGGATGAATGAGACTACAAGGAATAGAATTTTGAAAGAAGGAGGTCTGACTAAAATTGAGCAATACATGTATGAGGATCACATGATGCTACAGAGAGCAGCTACCCAATGTATTTGTAATCTGATGCAATCAGAGGATGTCATAAGGGCATTTGAGAGTCAGAATGACAGAGCTAAGTACTTATACCTTTTATGCCAAGAAGAGGATGAGGACACAGTAATGGCTGCAGCTGGTGCTCTGTGTGTTCTTACATCAGTCAGTAAATCTTGTTGCAGAAGATTACTTGACTTAGAATCCTGGCCAGAAACACTAAGGTGCGTGCTTGCACATAACAATAAGGAAATCCAGTATAGAGGTACCTACATGTTATACAACATTGTCAAAGGAGACAAAGATATGGCTGCAAAATTATTTGAAACTGATGTGTTGGAGATTCTAATGGCTTTGACAAAATTAGAAGATCCAGCCCAAAAGAGGACTAAGGATTTTGCAGAGAAATGTTTGAGTGAAGCCGAGGAACTAGGCGTTATTAGAAAACCACAAGGAGGCGATCAATTGCAAGATCCGTTTACAGAAGAAAATGTTAGTGATGATGAAGTTCAATAAATTTTATTAGATCACACAACCTAGTGTCATAATAAAAGTAGATAATATATAAATATATGTATGAATAAGTTTTACAGTTTTTAAATTGTGAAAATAAATAATAGTTTTTCCTTGTGTTGTAGTCGTGTGTTGTAAACTGTTAACTGATCATGTGAATGAATGTTTAATTTATGTTAAGAATTTTATATGTATTTTAATAAAATTTTATATTGTCTTTTTATAACTTGTTTTTAATTTATGTTTACACACAAGTGTGTGACTTGCTTGTACACACATCATATTTCATAAACAATATTGTAAATAATAGTGAAAAAACCTATACAGATACAGGTTTATATAAATACTTCGATTCTAGTATGATTTTCCATAACAAAAAAATCATGTAACTTTTTTTTAAATTTCCCGCTCTTTTATTCCAATATTTCCATAATGGAATACCGCGTCCTTCCCCCTCCGAAATCCCTCCCATTCCCACCTTTTTTTTGAAAAGGTTTTTTATAGTACACAGTTTGGAACATATGTGTATTTCTGGAATTGTTCTGATTTTCCGTAATTATTTACAAATATTACTTCAGTTTTAGCAAAAACATTATTTATCCACTATCTAAAAATATCATGTAAGCAAGATAATTCGATATTTAAAAAAAAAAACATATATTCATTGTCGTCTATTCTGAGATGCAAACGCGCCATCTTAAAAACTTCCCAAAATGACAGCTTGATTTGGTTTGGTTTCCGCTACTGTGCTATTGTGCTATTTTTTGGTTTTTGGTCTGAAAAACTGGAGAAAATGTCCATTTCAACGGCAACAGGTAAAGATATAGTTAAATAATCTTTCTGCAAGTATCAATCATAATGATTTTCACTGTTCTTGGGGGTGAACTCGATCGAAGAGTGTTTTCGGAGAAATTCCATGGAATCCCATATGGCGGTCCACACACCACATGATATAATGACGCTACTCGACGAACCGGGAGATCATTTTTGCTCGCACCATTTATGAAGTTCTAGTTTTATAGGCAAAATTATAGGTTATACCTTCGGTTTGATCAGATTTAGGTTACTAAAAGAGACTAGTTTGTTCCGGACTTTGGCGTACGGTCCGGCGACCGGACCCGGCTCGCTTCATTTTTCGAACCGCCTTTTTAGATTTTTTTTTCATCATGGCCATTTTAGGTATAGAACTTAGAATATGAAAAGGCTGAACTTGTAACAGTTTAGTTTTGAGCAAATGTTTGTTTACTGTTTATTTTGACTATATGTATTAACTTTGTATTATAGCATGCTTTCATGTGGTCTCTTTGTAATTCACAGATGATCGGACAGAGGGTGATGATGATACATCGCAGGAGAGTCACCCAAAGGACGATGAAAGTAGTGATTCAGAAAATGATAATGAGAATGAAAATGAAAATGAAAATGACCAAGATATTGACCATGAAAACGAAAGTGAAAATCAAAATGGATCTCAGAACCAGAATGGTGGTTCTCCAATTCCTGAAGTTCATGAAATTACTAGTGATGACGAGGATGACTGTGTAGTCACCAATGAAGATGAGTCCTCTAACTCGGGCTCAGATTCCAGTGATAGTTCTGAGGGTTCTCAGGAAAGCACCAAAGGCAGTGATGAAAAGAAAAGCAGGGAACGGTTAGAGAATGGAGAAGATGGAGAAGAATCTGACATTGAAGAAGTAACAGTAGAGGACCCATTAAATCAATCTTCAAACAAAACAAAACCTATAGTTATTAATGACACCAGAAATTTGGCTGAGTTGGCAAACAAACAAGCTAAAACAAATGGTGGTGACCAGAAAGAACCAACAGTGGTTATTATTGATACAAATTCTATTCTATCAGGTAAGGGACCAGTGCCTATTCAATCTAAAGTGCAGTCCACCAGCTCTATTGATGCACAAAATCTGTGTCAAAGCATTGCTGCCCGTGGCACTACAATAACACCTGTAAGTTGCAAAGCTAGCACATCCACATCTACTCAAAATAGTACTCAAACTCCCCAACCCAACATATTACCTTCACTCACAGATGACATGTTTGTTGTTGAAGCACCTTCATTCATAGTTCCTTATGTGTATGAAAAACCCTCTGTTAAGCCATTCAGAGAGTTTGTTGATAAACTGGGTAAGGAACTTGAGGAAATCAAATTAAAGGAAGAGGCTGAAAAGTTAGAGAAAGAAAAAGCAGAAAAGGAGAGAAAAGAGAAAGAGAAGCAAGAACGAATTGCAAGAGGTGAAGAAATAGAAGTAGAAAGTGACAAGGAACCGGAGAACGAATCTTTAAAACAAAAGAAACCTGAGAAGAAACATCGGCAAAAAAAGCGGCCTGAGGAAGATGATGATTCATGGGATGGTGAATCTACTAGTGACTCGGATGTCAGTGATGAAGATTCAGTTGTGATAAAAGAAAAAGATGACTCTATTGAAGAGATGAAAGATCCAATTGCTTTGATTGCCAGGGGGCTATCTTCATCTGGTAAATCTGACAGCTATTTTGATTGTTCATTAGGGCAGTTTTTTATTAACATTGGTCTTAATCTTGTCCAAGAGTATGTACAGAGTGATTTACTAAAACAACAGCAACGTAGGCTGTACAAGGAAAAGAAGTCCGGTCGAAGCACAAAAGCTACAGAGTCGGCTATTGTATCTCTTTCACAAAACTTAGAATTTAGTAAGAAAACTAATGAACCACTTGCACTTTCATACAAAAGGTGTGAATTTTGTAGTTTCAAAACAGAGTCTATGTTGGTCATGTCTCATCATCTAGAGGCACCGCATATGAGAAATAACATCTACAAGTGTAACACTTGTGCATTTGAGATTCGCAGCCCACATGACATTTTATTCCATATGGAAGCAGAACACAATATTCGTGGGAGACTAGAAAGAGCTCCAGCCTATCAACAATGTGCTAACTGTCACTTTGAAGATAACAGTAAAACTAAATTGGCGCGCCATCTTATCGCTTGTGCTAAGAAATTTAAACCTGAATTTAATCTGGGCCCTCCTTTAGACTGGGAACCTCCTGCAAAAATACCAAAGCTAACGCGAGCACGGAACAATATGGTCCCGTCATATGGATCGAACTTTAATCGACAAATGGGCGTCAATAATATTGGTAGGCCACCCCTTAACCTTGGAAATGTTCCTATACAGGGAATGCCTGTATTAGGACGACCTCGCGGGCGTCCCCCTATAACCGGACCGACTCGCACTGCGCCAATTTCTGGAGTACCGATAATACGCAGTGGGGTAATGATTATGCACAACACTCCTCCAGGAACTACCATTGCTAATTATCCTATCATGCAAAACAATCAAAACAACGTTAGTGCCACTCCAAAAATTTCTATTACCCCATTGCCAAGAGCACCTCAACCATCATCCTCTCAATCAAATCAAAATTCGAAAGCTACATTCGTTATCTGTGAGATTTGTGATGGTTATATCAAGGATTTGGAGCAATTGAGAAATCATATGCAATGGATTCACAAGGTAAAGATTCATCCTAAGATGATTTATAATAGGCCCCCATTGAACTGCCAAAAGTGTCAGTTCAGATTTTTCACAGATCAGGGTTTGGAGAGACATTTACTGGGCTCACATGGGCTTGTTACAAGCTCTATGCAAGAGGCGGCTAACAAAGGTAAAGATGCCGGCCGATGCCCTGTATGTGGCAGAGTCTACCAATGGAAGTTGTTAAACCATGTCTCTCGAGACCACAATATGACGCTCAAGCCAGCACATTTATCTTATAAGTGTACTGTATGCACAGCTACATTTGGAATGTACAAACAGTTTGAAAATCATGTTTATTCCGCACATAGCGTGGTCGCTAAGAGGGTAATGGATAAGGGCAAGGGCACAACTAACACCATCAACAAACCTTCTGAGGATCCACTTCTCAAGCCTTTAAAAATCAGTGATGAGATTACAATTATACCTCAGCCTGCGAAATCTAGCGTAACCATTACCGCAAAAGGCAAATAGCACTAATGGTAGGAGTATGTGACATGTACCAGTAGTAATTGTATTGTATATCCATTCTGCCAACCGGCAGCAGTGCACTTTTTGCGATATCGAGCAGTATTGTGTATATAAACTAAGTTATATGTTCTAAATTCATTTTGATGTCGGAATGCCAGAAGTATAGTGACAATTTTAGTTAATCAAGTGTGAATGTATTTTTAACGACAGATTAAACCTAGGTTTAAGCTGTAAATTGTTAGCATAAAGACTTACATAGCTATTAATCAACAAATTTGTATTTTGTGACTTGTAGTTGCCTAGTTCATATACTCCTACTTGTGACTAGAGCGCTGTGTGATTTGTTTCCTTGTCACAAAAATATGAGTAATAATAATGTTATTAAAGATCTGCATCCACAGTATACTAATTTTGAGATATGAAGTGCGAATGCGTTCTCGTGGCGACCATGGGATTGGCTTATGGTTGTTTTTAATATTTGAATAGGTACCTAATAAATTATTTATTTGCAAATCTGCTGTTCTTGAAGGTAATGTTATAATTATTGTCTGCCTATAATTTAACGATAGTTGATCAACTGAATTAAAGAATTATCAATTGTAAGATATCATTTATTTAGGTAGATACTTTCCATTATTATTGTATAATAAAACGATTATTATAGAGTTAAGAATTAAGTTAAAATATTAGAATTTAACGTTAGTGATATTTTTCTGCCGAAAAAACTATTTTTCCAAACACCTACCACAAATACAGTGATTTAGTAAAGTGCAGAACTGGACGCATTGGTCATTATTTATTTCTGATCTCAGGCCAATAGACTGGGGTGTTGATTTGGTAAAGTTTACTAAATTGTTGAGTGTACTTATAGAACTGAGGATAATGTATTTTTTTTATTTAATTAAAAAGACCATTGTAATTTCGAAGTGTTCTTTAATTTCCCTGGTATTTGTTCTAATAAATTCATCAAATATTTCGAAACATTTCTTTATCGCGGATCGGTCGATTGGACGAAAAAGAAGTCGTACGGCGGCAGCCGGTCGCCGCTCCGCGGGCGGCAGCATCGCTCGATGCGGCGCGGTGATGACGCGACGCGCGGTAGCCGCGTGGCCCCGATGCGTTGCCATGATCTTTCGTCGAAATAGAACAAACTTGTCAGCCATCTTGGATCCGCCATTTTGGATTTGTTAAGTTGTGCCTGTGCCTAGTCTTGTGCCGCTTGACTCACATTTGGTCAAAAAAGTGCGGGCGCTGCTGACGATGAGGGGAATGGTGTGGATCGCGGGGGCGAGAACGTGCTATTATGACTGTCTACTGCGGGAGCGGGGCAAGGGAGAGGTGCGGGGAGAGCCACAGTTATTGCTACTTTTAATTTACGATGAAATACTACGATAACCACGAAGAGCCAATATTTTACAGGAAAAAAAGCAAAAATCTAAGCTCGAACAATTCGAAAAAATAGTTTCCTGTTTCCCGCCAATAACTTTTGCAAAAGTTTAGAACAACTTATAATTACTGTTTTAAGATCTGTATCTTTGTTCAATCGACGATGAATTCTGGAAATTTATTACTGCAGTTGAAGTCAGTTCACTGAATAGGTACTAAAATCGCTACAAATATCTACGAAAATTCCGACGATTTCACAAAATCTACTTTACACAAACTGGCTAATGTAGGTATGTATGTACCTATTTACTGGTATAAATGATCGTACTTGGAAAGCTGTGCAACCACATCATAGAAATTTTCAGATATTTTATATTATATGTATATGAAATGAAAGACTTGCGAAAAAATTGCCGTGAAAAATTTAAAGTGCCTATCAACACCGATTAGCAATATGCATCCATACGGCCCATTCACTATCTGCACGGCAGTCCGCTGCGCAGGCAGGAGATTACTCACACAATATCCTGTATGGCCAACGTATGGAGTCTCGCAGGACCCATTGCAGGATTGCATGATGGCTGCGACTACGTTCATAATGCTTCCGTGGCCGAACGGTTACTATGCTGGACTACCACGCAGAGGTCCCGGGTTCGATTCTAGGTTCGGGAGAAATATTTGTTTGGCCTACATTTATTTCTCTCGTGAGTTTGGGTGTACTTTGTGGTTGGTGGTGTTGTGGTTATCTAGGTGTGTGTCCATGGCACCCATGATACATTGTTTCTCTAGTACAGGGCTATGAGTGTATGCTTTATTATTATATTATAATTATTATAATCCTGCAAGATGCATTACACGGCGGACTGCAATGCAGGATAGTGAATGTCCCCTTTAAAACTCATCATAGAAAATAAATTTAACAAACCTTTTTTGCATCTTCAACTGTTTATAATAATAATAATAATAATAATAACGCACACACTCAACATAGCCCCGCACTAGGGAAACCCTGTGTCGCGGGTGCCATGGACACACACATAGACAACCACAGTTTATATAGTGATCATCAATATAAATTTGTCTTAAGATGGTATAATTTTATGTCACTCCCGGCTACTAATACTAAAGTACTATTACTAAAACAATCGAATGGTGGGAGCAATCTTACACTGTCATTTGTGTTTAATGTAAAAATATCTTAGAGGATGAAAAAAAAAATAAAAAATAGATATAAGCTTGAGCTTGTTGCATCACCTATTTCTGTTTTGTGTACAAAAATAATTTAGGTCTAAAAAGTATTTAAGCCTGTAGGCGTATTTTTTTATATTATCAAGTGACGGGACCACATACATAATTATCTAGATAGACGCCGCAATTGTACGTACTTCGCGTGCCCAAAGTAAGTGAAATTCACTTATTTGCCGCTGCTACACTTCAGAACGCGTTCGACCGTTATCGTAGATAAACACCAGTCGAAAATGCGAAAAATGAATAATTGTGCCATTATAAACTGCCAATGCACCATAACTGTGTGTATACGTGTATATGTACATATAGGGACGTTTCCTTCCACGGGAAAGTGATTTTGTAATCAGAAGATGCATAATTTATTTTAAAAACAATTATTTTGGTTTTATACGAATTTCGAGAAAACAAATATGCAACCGAGTGTATGTCTCATGATTTGTAATACACTGCGGATTTTCTTTTGGTGCGATATATTTGTGATCCTTTATTAATACGCTATGAATATCGAACGAGCGCACTTTTGTATAATGCATTCAGTTTCGTGGTACGGTCGTTTGTAAAGTCAACAGCATATCAAGCTACACATTGACGTATCTTGTTCCGTTGCAATGGAGGCGATTTTCGAACAAAAATGTGTAGTCTGATGTGCTGTTGTCCGTACATTTCTTTGGCCAAATTTAACATTTAGTGTTTAAAATTTAACATGTATACGTTAGGCAACACCGTCTCGATTCTGATCGATTTTGAAAACAAAGGGACGGAAATTAATATGACCATTAGCAACATTATAAAAACATTGTATAACTCTTTTGTTATAAAGTTTAGTAACGTTTCGTTTTTTTTAGTTTTGTAGTATCTATTATCAGTAGTATCTGTAATTTCGATAATTTTCGCAGCACGTTGCCTCGAATGTCCAAATATAGTAAGCAAATAATTACATACATCGCCGGATATGTAGTAGAATTAACAGGGCGCTGTCTTTACAAAAACCTGGAGTTGGTCATCTGTATGAATACGTTGCTTGCGAGGACGAAGGTGGTCTAGTTTATTCCACCTAAATTGCCATCCAAATATGCAGAGCAGCAAAGTTCGAAATCCGAGAAATAATCACAAAAATTTCACACGGGGCCCTCATTAAGTAAACCTCTTATTAATAAGATTTTACCATAATTTTGTCAGCGCTAACATTTTCATTTGTCTTGCCATTCATCAATTTGATCAATTACCAACAGAAAACCATCTAGTATAATTAATTAAGGCAGTCGCAAGTTCTTATATTGACGTGTGTATTCATTATTTAAATTAATCGATAAAATCTTCTATTACAAAAAGATGTTATATAATAAGCTCATTTTATTCGAAGGACAATAATTTTAATATATGAAGTCGATTAAAACTTAAAGTCTTCATTTTTTTAAGTAATAAACATTTAAAAAAAAGTAAAATAAAGGACTTGACTATCTTATTCCAGTATTTTTCTACAATATTATTGTTACGACTACTTGTAATCAACAAATACTTGAACAAAAATTATTCTATTTATAATCGATTAATTGAATGGAATACGCATGTTTTATGTATGTAATAGCCCTTTCACTCTTTCGCGCGTGATCAGGAGCGTACAGGATTGCTCGCGGGAAATCCTGCACACGAAATCGTGTGCAATTACCTGTTTGAAATGTTTTGAGCTTATATTCTTTCACGCGCGATTGCTCGTGTTCGTTTTTGTTACAAAACGGAAAGAGCGGCGTCCGTGTAAAGGTTAAAATAGCGCAGGATGCACCGCGTGAAACTACCACGTGAAAGTGGTGCGTGTGGAATGGAGTGGTGCGCGATTGCACGCGTGACTAATCAGCGCAATCGCGCAGTCTTTCCCCTTTTCCTCCAACGTCTTTACAAGCGCGCTCAATCGCGGACGGGTTGTGGCCGGGGCGGGCCTTCCAAAGCAAATAACATTCAATTTTAAATTAACGGTAAAACCAATTATGGAAAGTCTTTACCTGTAACCGCACATATTATCATTTTATTATAATTTCAGTACAGAGTACTAAAAAAACCTAACTCAAAAGTACAGTCAAGTTTTTTTGAAATCGATTACCGGAAAGTGCGCAAATCCGGATTCATCCCCTCGTTCGTCACTATACGGAACTTGACACAGGAGATAATAAAAATCGGTTCTCACTACTCAAAGTATATTGAACGCCTTGAATCAGAGAATACCAAAATCAACCATTAAAATACAATCCTTATAATAAAATTTAGGCGCTATTTATAAAAATGAATCTTCATGCGTGAACAGCCACTCTTAGAGGTTGATGATTTTCTTCAAAATCAAATGGGACCACTATGGAGGTTTGGGGAATTTATCGCTCCCCTAACGAACAATAAAACGGCCTCGTGAACTTCATGATAGGCGATATAATTATATTATTTCGTGGTTTTACAAAAAAATTTTATCAAACAAAGCAAACAATGTGCAATCGCTGACATGACAATTCCGTAAACAAAAACTATCGAATATTTTCGCAAGTGTGACACTCTCTTTGGCGACTCTTGGCTAAAGAGACTGCCTCAGCCAGCCGGTGAAAATAGGCGGCGTCTAAAGCCGCCATAGAGGTGCCCTCTTTCCAACAAAAAAAGAATCATGAAAATCGGTGCACATATACCGGAGTTATCGCGTAACATACATACAAAAAAAGATACAGTCGTATTAAGAACCTCCTCCTTTTTTTGAAGTCGGTTAATAAAAAAGACACGCAAAAAGTTTAGATTGAAAAAGTCAACCACGATAAATTTTTTTTTACTATAATATCAAGCGGCGGGACGAACAAGTCGTACGCCTGATGGTAAGCTGCACGCCTGTCCATAACAGTTGCAGTATCGAGTTTACATAATCGAGTTCTTAGGTTTTTGCGATTGTTACACTTGGGAAATGAAATTATTTTTCTGGATTTATATAAGCGTATATTTGTTTTTTCAAATAAATCAACGTTTCGGGCCCTTTACAGGTGACTCCGGTTGACTGGTCAACCGTGCCATGGGACCTGTAAAAGGCCTGAAGCGTCGCCGTCGGTTTGTTTGAAAAACAAATATAGGTACGCGATTTAAATCCTGAAAAATAGTTTCATTTCCTACATGATACACAACTTAAATTAAATAATAATTCATAGTTAGCGATCTTCAAAGTATTATCAGATTTTTTTAACAAGTGACGCCTGTTAAAATTGTTGTAGCAATTATTAGTAGAATCGTTTGAATATTATTGACATTTATAATTCTGTGTATCCACATTCAGCTAAATGCACTAAGATTCAGGAGAACAGCAGTTTGATTTTGATTGCCTCTCCCGATCGGAAACTGCGTCTTTTCCGGGTCGAGGCGCATAATTGCGATTCACAACTGGCCGATCGGAAACTTTTGACATTTCTAATCGGAACATTAGGTGATTTAACTCACAAACTAGAAAGATATAGTAGGAATCAGGTTCATCTTCTCGCTCAGAAACCCATCTCATTTCGAGACTACCCGATCGAATCGATTCCTATTTGAATCAAAATCAGGACGCAGGACTTTGTATTAATCGTCCGTCATGAGTCGGTGACCTAACGATTTTGGTACTCTTCTAGAATCATATTATGTCTATACAGTGCAGTTGGGTTAAAATATTAGATTAGTAGTTGATACACAAAAATTCGCTCTGCGATGCGTATGACGGCTTAAACGTGTTTTCTTTTCCTTTCCAGAATAATGGCCCAAAAATGTAATAAAAAAAATATGGTTACCTATTTTTTATTTATTATACAACTGTATTCTTGAATGTGCTAAATTTGATTATAAATAAGACACTGAGGGTCGTATTCTAGAACGCTACTCGATGCTCAAGTCAGGATTTGAGTATGGTTTAAAGCACTCGAAATCATATCAGGAGTCAATCAATCAGGAGTAGGAAAACAAAATTATAATCTTAAAGAGCTAAGTATTTTTAGTTTCTTAAGATTTTAATTCTATTGTATACTTAACACGTGTTAGCATACAATAAAAATCCATTAAAACATTCATATCGAAATGTGCAATGATGTCCACTGGGCTAACATTGGGTTGTTCTAGCGGTTCGTAAACACGCTCAGGATGCGCATTGGGGCTGGCGCATAGGTGCGTAGTATGGTGCCCGGTTACGATTATGACCACCACATATTTATCTGTGTGTGTTTTGTAAAGGAGACGAATGCGCAGCATCTCTGGGTGTCAGATAATACTTAGCAGTTTTATTAATAGACCAACTTAAAAAACAAAAAGGTATACAGTTATACTCGTATAAAACATGCTTTTAGGTACATAGGCGCTGTATATACAACCTATACGTTCGACGTTCTCAAAAGCGTCAAGATCGTATTCTACAATTCTTTTACTTTGTGATGTGTATACGTCTATTGCTTCTATGCAGGTTTAAATACGCCACACAAACATCTAGGTATAATTGGTAAAGTTTCAGATATTTAGGTAAGTACACGAAGTGGACACTTTTTTATAAGTATATGATATCAAATGACAGGACGAACAAGAAATGAAATGAAATTACATATAGATGAAATTATTAGTCTGGGTAAAGATTCAGTGGGGGCAATTATCTCGAGTTTGAAGAGCTTCCGCACGGAACCTACAAGTATATGTTATACATATTATGTTATTATACTTTTTGAAAGGTTTAGGTGTCATTTTAAAATTTGAAATATCGATTACCGTTGCTTATTTAAAAACGCTGAAAATAAGAGAAAATGGGATTTTAACTAAAAAATATGAAGAGCTTAAACTTTTGATCGGTAATTAAATGTTGAAGGCTTATATAAATTAGGCTTAAAAAAGAGTGTGATAATGGTCTTTAGGGCCGCTGGAGGCTAAGTACCTACCGAGCTATGTTCCACCCATTAAGATAAGCAATATAGAACTCGAGCGGGTCTATCAATACAAGTACCTTGGCCATTTTGTCTCCGACGACCTTAAGGACCTCATGGATATTGAGAGGGAACGCAGGGCGCTGGCGGTCAGGTGTAATATGGTGGTGCGAAGGTTTGCGCGTTGCAGTGAACAAGTAAAGATTCTACTTTTTAAATCATACTGCCAAGTTTTTTACACATGCAGCCTTTGGACCAACTATACGCACAGAGCCATCAGCGCCCTGCGAGTACAATATAACTATGGTTTTCGTATGTTTTTGGGGTTGCCGCGGTTCTGCAGCGCGTCAGGCATGTTTGCACAGACTCGCACTGATGACTTTTATGCCATTATGCGCAAAAAGTCGCCCTCACTGCTCTGCAGACTGCGAGCCAGCTACAACCCAATACTGAAAACCATTGCCAGGAGAATTGACTCTCCCTTTATGCGGCAACTTTTTTCGCCTCGTTTTTAATTGCCTCAAATGTTCATGTTTTTATTTTAATTTTAATTTAATAATGTTTAGATTTAGTGCCTACTAACATAATTTTTAAGAATAAAATTGTTACTAACACATTATTATTATTATATGATACAAAATCTCTATTCACTACTGTGTTTGTTAGAAGGCCATAACATAAGTCCTTAGGTATAACATCACCACTCTACATAATCTGTGTGATCAGCGTGGTATTGGAGATTGAGAGAGAGACTGGTTGCTTATAAAAATATTTAATCGATTTGGTTGGTTTCGTGCTTCCTTTTTTTTTTCCATCCTCTAAGTTTCGTGTTTATTTTTAGGGAGCACATTGTCGACTTATTTTATTTATTGCAAAAACACAAGCTGCTAAAGTTTCATTAGAAAATTAAACGTCAATGTCATTATGACAAAATAAAAATGTTCATCTATTCTACGGTCTTTTTCCATCTCATCTTTCCAATAATGTTTAATGTTTTTCTTTCTCTGTCTGCCTCCATACTTTTTCTCTTCGCTCGCGCTGCTGTAAGGCGAGGACGCGTCTTGTCGATTTTATTATAGTTATTTACCATATAAAATTAATAATTTGTTAAGAAATATGATATGTGAACGTTGCTTTTATTCTTCAGTACACATACAAAAAATATTCAGGTACGTAATAATGATTTAAGTAAAATAAATTCATATGTTCTATTTGTGCACCACGTGTTTCGGAGTTTTTACCCAAAAAGCTAATTAAGTAACTGTAATAAGCTAATTAGCAGTTTAAATTGGCTTATCGATGCAATACAAACGCCAGATAAGCTTTTTCTTGAATAATAATCGGGAAATTTGACAAGATAAGATTATTTGCTTACGACATTTGGTCACACGTCAAGCAAACAGTTTTTTTACTAACAAAGTAGCTTCTCCTTTGTGATGATAAAAAACACGAGCCGAAATGTGTTTGTATGATTTAAACACATGATATTAAATGATAGGCCTGATTTGAAGAATTTGATTATTTTTTTAAAACATAATTTTTTCTCAATTAATAACTAACGTTTGTTGTTCTAGAACACGCGAATTTCATCCAAAGGTGACATGAACGTCAATAAAAAGGCTTATTTTTCCCACAATCCATGGGTTTGTCTGCCATGATAGTTTGTCAAATGCACATTGTGCTCGTACAATGACAGCATTCTCATAAACCCACACACATTACCATGGAACCAGCAAAGACAATAAGTAGCAGAACTAGATTTGTGATTGCTGTGTCAGTAATACTATCTATGGCCCAGCACAGTCTGTCCCAGCAGTCTTGAAGCACATTGAAAATGTAAGTATAACCCGGAATCTAGTTTGTTCTATTTATTAAATGGTAAAATAAGAGTTAAAACTCCCAATGATGACAAACAACACGAGCCGAAATGTGTTATATTTGATAACAACATGATACTAAATGATAGGCCTGATTCATTCATGGATTTAATAAAGAAATGCTTATTTTTATAAAATGATTAAAAACAAGTATTTTTACAGACTGTTGCTGTAGAGGAACCAAAGGATGAAGACTATTAATTAGTTTTACAGAGCCTTTCAATACCACAAGAAGATAAAAAATATTGATATAAAAAAGTTTTTTAATGAATAATTTATATATAAACTAGTGGAGTAATTTCACAAAAAATAATTGTATATCATGGTGGTGAGACATCCTGACACGCAATAAAGTTAAAAATTAAATTAAAATTGTAAATTGTTTATGAAAATAAAAGAAATGTTGCATTTTATTCCTTGCTTTTATTTATACTTGTAACATGCAATAACAACATATTTTATAGTTATAATTGGGTCAAACTTAACAATACGCTAATATGTACAAAAACTTTAACAATTCATGAAACTTATTTCTATCAATCTTTCTATTTTTAAATGCAACTTAACTAAAATAATGAAGACACTAAATAAGTTTAATTTTCCAGTCTCAATAATAACCTGGCTATTTATTCACAAACTGTTATTAAGTAAATAATTAAACTGCCACTGTTTCTTAATGTTTACACAAATGTGCCACAGCAAACTGATCTGCCTACTTGCATGTAAAGTAGTTAGTTTCTTGATTATTTTAAAATCTTAACTAGCAGTATCTAAAGATCCTGGTTTTAGTATCTTCTTTTAACATCTCCGGTTGTTTTAGAAAGTATTGCCTTGTCGAAGAAACGCTGTAGTCTATTGCCTGGGGTTCCTAGGGTTGGGCTCGGTGGAATTCTGCAGTTTGATAGTGACGTCTTGCAGCGCCATATTTGAGAGGATGAAGTCTTCAATATTATTGGCGAAGGTAGAAGGCCGGTCGAAGGGAAAGCCCATAGCACGCTTGTCGGGGAACAGGCGGTCGCGAAGCCCGCAGAAGCTCGAAGCCTCTTTACAGGACAGTTCGCGCCCGTCGGCTTGGTCCAACTGCGAGTTGATATTATTCGTAATTCAATTAAAAGCTCCGCAGTGTTCCTATATTTAGTCTTAAGTGTTAAGTTTCAGTGTTATTACCTTGTCGAAGTCGTAGTTAGACAGCATGACGAAGAGCTGGTACTGCGCGCCACCTACAGTGCCCCTGGGTACGAGCATATGCTGGGGCCAGCCGCAGCCACAGAAGTTGAAAGCAGCGAGAGCGTCTACCCGGGGGTCTTGGCCCTGCGCGCTCAAGTCGCGGAACGTCTGCTCGAATGGAATTGTCAGGGAAGATTCGGTTGAGTCACGTGTTATAGTGTTCTGGCCCGCTTTTACTGAAGAGAAAAACAAATATTATCTGGCTTTGTAGAAGATAACGTGAACTTGAAGCATTGGGAACAATAAGGGCGTTAGGCACCCAAAGCCCGTTTTAATGTTATTGCATCAAAACATGTAAAACACTGACAAAAAATCATTTCGATCTCCCTTTTAGATATCGTAAGTTTCATTCATTTCTAAAGAAAAAGGCGCTCCGCTGTCGTTGCATGGATTATAAATGTGCGCTTCTATTTCAGACACCGTACCACGCGCAGTTTGTAAAAACAATTAAATGTAAAAAAAATGTCTGAAACGAGCGATTTCAAAATAGAGCATCTGGGAGGCCAGTAAGACCTGCTGCAGATATTTGTAGATTCATTTCAATCCAGATAATTTAATAAATGATTAAAAATACGTTTAATTTATTTTCAATGTGAGGGCGCGTTCCCACTATGTCGTTACGTTTTATTATCGTTGGACGACTGTCGTGTCTAGCCTGTTCCCATATCACGACTATCTGTCGTGGACGATTTTCTATCGTTGAACGACTGTCGTGACTAGCTGCTCCCACTAGATCGTGACGACAATTTGTCGTTTCACGACAGCCTCCTTGCCCATCTCTGGCTACGACCCAACGCTACTGCAAAGCGAGCAGAGGGCGCGGGGTGCGAGAGGGGGGGGGGGGGGGGAGCAAAATACGTGCGGACAGCGACAAATAAAACGTGACGACAATAGGAGCTGCGACAATCTGTCGTCACGTTTTTATCGTGACGTTTTGTTATCGTCCGACGACTGTCGTTCTAGCTGTTCCCACTGTGGCGACAGATTGTCGTTGTAACGATAAAAAATCGTGAACGACAGTTAATCGTGTCGTGCTATATGTGAACAACTCATTTAAATATACAAGCCACGAACTGTAAACTGCACGTTAATCTGTCGTCACGACATAGTGGTAACGCGCTCTAACTTTCAAATAAGACTGATTTACAATTTATTTCCTTAGAAACCAATAATAAAACGAACGCCCCAATAATTTATCGGTTTGGTGCAACAAGGGCGGATAACACAAGGAAAAAAAAAATTGAAATGTTTGTAATTGTTTGAAAATAATAATAACACCTGAATCTTTTAGCTAAATCATAGGACAAATAAATAATAAAACAATTAGAGTCATATTATAAGATAGAAGACATTAAAACTACTACGAAACACTTTCATAGATTTCTCATAGATGGCTAAAAAGTCGTTGAAAATCAAAATACAAAGACATGACAACAAGAAGCACAGAAAATCTCGTGAGGTCTGCTGGTTCGTTCCGTGGCTTAGTTGGTATAGCACGGCATATGCCAGAAGACGTCGGTTCGATTTAGTTACGAATTAATTACATAGTTGTATTGTTTTATTAATCACTTTGTATTACTATATAAACTTTATTTTCAATTCTCCCAATGCTTTAATTATCAGTTACTCTGTTACTACCGCGACTTACGTGGAGTGACGAATCTGTCCATCTCGAGGAACATTTTCCGTTGGTCGGCGAGAATCCACGGTAGATTACGTTCATCGAACTTGGGTCCCAGGAAGATGCGGACTGTAGTACGCCGAGCATTGCCAGTGTTGTTCACTCCAATTCTACAATAGGTGTAATTTACTTAAGATGACATTTTGGCGCTAGTGGAATGCAATTATGAAATAATAATACTTACACGTAACGGAACCGGCGATGGTTAAGATGTGTGTAGCGCGCGAACACGGGTCCACGATTGGAGAAGTCCAAACCACGGGACAGGTCGAGATCGCTCTGCATCCAGAACGTGTTTAGGGTGTTTGGCTGGCCATCACCTTCGAGGTTTTCGATGGTCACTGATTGTACTCGCACGCCCGGGTTCATCAGCTACAAAAATCTTAAAATTAGTTTCTTACAAAGTCTATGTATTTAAATTTTTATTGAATTGATATTCAATTATTTTTATGTGAAATTACTCCACTAGTTTCTTATAATTATTACATACAAAGATCGAACACTTAGAAAAAATTCCTTCGATCCGGCCGGATTCGAACGGACATATTCTAGCATACCGTGTCAGACGCTAACCAACTAAGCCACGGAACGAACTAGCGGACCTCACGAATTTTTTTATGTGCTTGCGTCGTATCTTTGTATTTGGTTTTTACAATGACTATGCCTGCGTATGACTACGAAAGTCTATGTACCTAAAATACCTGTGTATCAGGCCACGAAAACTGGTAGGTACTTAGGTACATATGGGGTTATGGCTTTTCACTGGGTATAATATATTAGTCACCACTATGGTTGGGAGTTTAAGGATTTACACGCCTTCAAAATTTATGAATAGGTAAGCTGTCTACGATCAGCTTTCATGCGGATTTTTTTAACTCCACGGACTACTGAGGTAGGGCTAGCACGACACGGCGCGACGATACTGCTTTTTGTTCACATAGAGATCTTGTCGCGCAGAAACGTATTAACCATTCATAATCCTCGATAGTCGGTTTATCAATTATGTTTAATAGTTTGTGGTGCAGGCATCGAGTATATAACCAGAAATAGAGACGAAATAATCTTCCCTGGCAACAACTCTCGTTTGCGCTGAAATAAAAAATTAGAAAGTTGAAATAGTACATCGCCAACAACTGACCTGTGTGTACGTCTCCGTATATTCCAAAAATATTCTGTATTTAATGTAACAAAGATAATATCTCTAACAATGGGTGGCTGTTCTATTGGGTGGTGTGGGAAAAACAGGAAAACATCTAATTACAAAACAAACGGAATCACATTTCATCGGTAATTAAATATGATATTTTGCAATTTTCGCCCATTATAGCAAAGCTCAAGCTAAACTAGTCGAATTGAAGTGAAACAATTGACACGACACCTGTCAATTCTTTCGAATTCGGGCTGGCCAATCGGAGCGCAATTGTCACCGTAATGATTTGGCAGAATAGTTTTTAAACAAGTTAAATGACATTTCGTTTCTATTTCTGGATCGCGATGGGTGCAGGTGACTTTACCTCAGAGATTGAGTAAGGGCTGACGTAAGGTGACTGTTTGTGTTGTTGGAAGAGGTCGTCAATGTACGCATGCCAGCAATAGAAGAACGGGTCGCGCATATTCGTCGCTTCGTCGGCCATCACGGCGAAGTTTTCCTGTACAGGGTGTTATGTATGAGAATTATAGGACACATGACAGCATCTTAGCTCACACTGGAGATATGACAAAGGAAGAGTAATGATGAAACTAGATGCTAAGCTTAAGAAACTTTTAATTTTTTTTTATTTACCAAGTAACGGTGGCTAGGGTCATGCATGTACCCAGCGAACATATGACCGTTGTTGTGCAGAGAGCCATAAAGTTGCGGGTTGGGTGACAAGATACTGGCCTCTATAATATTGCCCAGTGTGTCGATGTCCAGGTCTTGAAAGCCGCCATTCGCCTGAAATAATATTAGAAGTGCTACTTTTTTGAAAGCATTCCAGAGATGTCGATAGGATGGCGATTGTAAATGCAACACAAATAGGACACAATTTTTTTATGTTGGACGATGAGTAGGTATCATAGGCTGCTAGTAGATGAACTGCGTCAACAACGTTCTGCTTAGATTTCTACTGCGTCAAGACTACAACTGCAAACGTCGGCTGCAGTCGGTGTGAACAAGAATCAAAAGCAGCAATTGATAATAATAAGAGGATATCTGTATGATAATGTCTCTGAAACAACTTGGTGAATGAAACAAATAAAAAATCAGTACCGGCAAAAGGTAACGATTACCTAAAGGTTTAATGCTAACGGTAAAACAAAAACAAGATTGGTGAAGTAATGTCGACGGATTTATTTCATTTGAACAGTTTTTGCAATGACACCTTTTTTTTTGTTGCATATTCCAACGCAGTGTCTATCCTTAGTTCCCAAAGGGGTCCACAGAAGACTCGACGGGGGACTACCCTGGCGTGACGAAAAATAATATGGATATGGAATATGGTAGAAATGTAGTCTATGAGAAAAAGTCTGGGAATCTCTGGCCTATACATCCGTGGATTAGTTTGTTTACATTTCTGTGTGGATTACGGAAATGCATTTGTTGACAAATTAAAATGGAGGAGATTGATATTCATATTATTTATGTGCAGTTCCTTAATAAAAAGTAAAGTCAGCATTTCGAATAATAAATGTTCTGAATTTAGTGAAAACCTACAAGTAATTTCTGTGTTTCCTTTTCGATATCAACAAGTAGGTACACTGAGCTCCCTGAGTTAGACGCGCAGTTGTGACTGTTTGCAGTTAAAGTTGATTATCTTTGACATGACTATAGTCGGTTTCGAATGCATATTGTTGTATATATAGGCTTTGCGCATTCAGTTCGTCTAATAGTAACAGAAGAGGAAATAAAATTCTACATACAGTAGGTACTTCCATGATACCCAACTCATTTACGAATTGCATTTGGTATATGGTGGGCATTTGAGGCCATTTCGAGACCAATTATGTCACACCATAGATATATCATACTCGCGAATAAAATGACTGAACAAAATAAAAATCTTGGTTTGCGCTGTAAAAATGTGATCTGTGCTATGTAATAGTGCCGTCTTCAAGGTATTTTAAACGTACTCACCAATCTCACTTTCCCAGTGGAAATAACCTCAGAAATGCTCCTCTTCCATCTTTCCATGTCAGCAAGAGTAACGTTGAGTCCATCAGCAGGGCGCTTCAGGTCTTGCCAGCGCATACCCGACTGTCGCGGGGGCCACCCACGCGCTGACGTCAGGCTGTCCAGCTTGGGAAAGTACGCTTCAGGGATCGGTGCATTAAAGTTGCTAAACTTTGCTACTCGTTTCAGAGAGTTGTCGAGACGTTCACAGTTGTAACTGTTGATCAAGATTGTATTTTTGAATTAATAAAATAGAATTTAACCGATAATCTGTCCTGGAAGCGATTTTATTTCCCGTCCTATGGTCCTTCGAGCCGGATTTCTCACAGAATTTATTGTAGACGTCTGCCTACCTAACGTTTTGAAATATAAAGTTCTTTGGGTACGTACCGCGCAATGACCTGTTGGTGCATATAGAAGAAGAGTTCACCACGTCGGTCTTTAGCCACAATGGCTCTGTTGGAAGAAGTAAAAGGATACACGAGATGCCAGTGCCAGTGATGCAAGTTGATGCCAATATCTTCACGCCAGTACGACACACGATGTTCTTCTTCCAAATCAGTGGCAGTGTAGTCTCTTGGGATAATAATTGGATTACGCTGTAACATAAAAAATATTCATATAAATCAGGCAATGGGTACAAAGGAGCGCAGACACATTTTTCATTCTGGCACTTCGCGGTTTGCGTTTGTGCCACTGCAAAACGAAGATATTTATTTACAGTAAACAATGGAAAGTTCAGTTTATTTCTCTCAACATTACAAATTTCATACAAATACAATTACATGTCATTTTATACTACTCTTCGAAAAGTGAGCGTCAGTTTACAACAAAACTAAGAAATAATTATGTAATAGTAAGCCATAAGTACCTACCTATTGTTGCGTTGCTGAGTTGTATATGTAGGTACACAATAGTGTAATAAATTTTTTATATAATTAACACAATTAATGAAACTAAATAAATAATGGAATTAAACTAACAATGTCAAGTGTATACAGGAAAATGTCAATAAGGATACTTAATAACTAATAAATGTATATTAAAATGGATAATAATTATAATAATATAATTATATATTATTGTTATATTTATTTATAATTAGATAAATAAATATAATAATTTAATTATTTATTAAGTA